ATTGAATACAGTACATCTAATTTGAAGATAATTCTCATGTCCTATTATTTTTCTTCCCCCCTAGCCTAAACGTACCCAATTGCTTTCAAAACTTCCTGACCAGTCATATAGACCCTTCACCATTTTAGTTGCTGACCACCTCCTGACCTGGTTTTTCTATGCAAATTTCTCCAAAGTGCCTTTTAAAGTGGGCCTCCAGAACTGAATAGGTGGTGGCAGTCAGACCTTTACAGAGCCCAGGAGGACTCTTAACTCCCTTGTTCTGGAGACTATTTCTAACAGCACAATCCAACATCCCCATATCATACTGAAGACACATATTGAGCTAAGAGAACAACCCTTTGCCACTTTGTTCTATGCAGCCACTTCTCTGCCTCCCCTATTCTGTACCTGGCACACTTGTTTTCGAGATTGTAAAATCAGGACTTTACCAGCTGCTCTATTAGATTTCATGTTATGTTCAGGCAAGGGCTGCAGACAAGATCAGGGACAAACACCCTATAGCACCAAGCAACTCCCCTCCCCAGCCCCAGCCTCCACTACTTCTGAACATTTGGGGAGAAAGGAAACCTCATTCCACGAACAGCTGCCCAAACACTTTCACTGCCTCTGCAGAACTGCTGAATAGGACCGTCAACTTGGAAAATCCATTGTCTTTGAGTCTCCCACTCCTTTAACTATTCTCCCTGGTTGACCGAGTGTCATTTATCTATGGAGCCCCCCTCCCTTCGCTATTGAGAAGTCACAACCTAGATTCAACTTATCGCACAAACTTGACTATGTCTTCACCAAAATAATTAGGCTTCTTTCTCTTCTTAGAACAAAATGCTGCATCCCTCTGAAGACTTAGAGGGCTGAAGATAAATCCTTATAAAAGAAACTTTCACGCAGCCTTTTGTGGACTTCCACACATCTTGGTCAGTTTCCTCAGCCCACTCACCACTCCAGCTGAGAGCAGCAGAAGAGAACACAGCCAGGTCAGGCGGCCAGAACACTAATCAGAGGCGTTGCCCATCTTGGACAGTGACACTCACAGGACCAACCTACATCCACAATATTAAAATAATGTCCCCTCCCTGCAGCCTTCAACAAAATCCTAAATTCAAATTTGGAGAGTATATATATTACACTCTAAGCTTTAACAAGGAAGGGAAGATAGTAAAATGATCTCAAAATGTAGACTATAAGTTCATCTCCCAAGAAAAAGGCAGAACAGTTTGTCCCAGAAGAATATTTCGCCATTCCTATTCTTATGATGCTGCTCCAAATTTAAACTTTGTCTTTTAATGTATAAAGTTCTAAAAAGGTCAAATTCAAGTTGGGTACTCAAAGACAACACAAAATAATTACCTGATTAATTCAATTAGCTAGTCTACATGAATAAGACTCCTATACTTTCACAGGTAGTTTTTTTTTAAGGTCATTCTCTGCATAATTTCCAGAACTTTCTATTTCATTTTAGCTGAGAAATATGTTATTTTGAAAAGAACCTTATGGATGTAATATCAAAGATTTTCCTTACACTGCTTTGGGGGAGGGAAGAACTTTTACCACTGCCTTTTAACTTTTCTCCACTGTAACAGTTGTGCTTGAATAGCCTATTAAGCTATTTACTATATATGAGCCGCGCACTGGATGACTGATTGTTTCCACATTGCAACAACAAGTCAATCATAAATCTAAAAGGTTAACAAGAAAAACCAAATCAACTTTAAACAAGTAAACCATGTCAAAAAGTCAAAATGATATTTCACTTGCTGGTTACAGACATGTTGATCTGATCAACACTTTTGAAGAGAGTGACATCAATACTTCGAAACAGTGATGAGGGCCACTGATTCCATCACTTATTAAAATTTTTTAGAATAAAACCTTAATTTTGGCTGTCCAGGCTGAAATTTAATACCAGATTATTTCGACAGTTTGTTTTCCTTCTTTTGTACAATAGGAAAAAATTGAAATGCTTGGGCATAAAAATCATTCTTATTAAAAAAAGAACATCTAGAAAAATTAAATAAAAAATTTATTGAATACCTTAAATAAAAAGATTCCAGTGCAGATGTAAGCCTTATTAACTGTTCCTTGGTATCATGGTTATTTATGTAAACTCTTTTTTCTTTTGAGGAAGATTAGCCCTGAGCTAAGTATTGCCAGTCCTCCTCTTTTTGCTGAGGAAGCCTGGCCCTGAGCTAACATCGTGCCCATCTTCCTCTACTTTATATGTGGGACTCCTACCACAGCAAGGCGTGCCAAGCAGTGCCATGTCCGCACCCAGGATCCGAACCGGTGAACCCCGGGCCGCCGAGAAGCGGAATGTGCACACTTAACCGCTGCGCCACTGGGCCGGCCCCTATGTAAAAATTTTTTATTGACAGCACAAATCCACCATTTCATTATTATTTGCTGCCAATATAAGAAACATTATAAACAAGAAATTCATTTCAGATTTTTTTTAGCTAATGAGACACCAAAGTTTATTAAAAACACTGTGGCATCTCTAAATTGTTTTAAAATGCCAACTTTATGGAGAAATGGAGACAAACCAATGCAGCATTCTCCATCCTTGATCTGAACTGCACTGATTTTCCCCTTGTGTGTTTTATTAAATAAAAAAGATGGGGGCCGGCCCAGAGGCATAGTGGTTAAGTTCATGCACTCCACTTCAGCGGCCTGGGGTTCGCAGGTTCGGATACCTGGCATGGACCTACACACCACTCATCAGCCATGCTGTGGCAGCATCCCACGTACAAAGTAGAGTAAGACTGGCACAGACGTTAGCTCAGCAACAACCTTCCTCAAGTAAAAAGAGGAAGATTGGCAACAGATGTAAGCTCAGGGTCAATCTTCCCCACCAAAAAAATAAAAACAAAAAAGATGAAAATAAGACTTTATAAGCCTCCCAGGATAGACACCCCAATTTACCACAGTTCTGCCATAAAGATGGAAGAACTAAGAAGCAGATGGAGGAAAATGAGACTTGCTTAATTTTTTGAGCGACTGTGAAGCTGAAGTTATCTAGGAACGTCTTTAGAATTACTTTTATGCACTCTATTAACTAAACTACCCTGGGCGTTAGTGTACTTTTATGGCTTAGCGACTCTTATTAAAACACTACTGAAAAATGAATACACACACACACACACTCACACATACATGAATGCCCACCTGTTACACGGAATTTTTTTGGTCCATTTCCACTTACCCAAACTACCTTGCCAGAGATTTTGTGAAGTAGAAGATCAGTATTACATCAAGGTGAAATCACTGAAATTTAGCATAGGATCTCTTTTAATCTCTACCCCTAGAATACAACACTAAAGACTTAATTCCAAGATGCCACGACACTACTATCAGATATTTGGGTTTTCCAGCAGTCTCTTCCTAATGCTCTAATATATGGTGATAAATGTCTCCTTAATTTGCACAACAGTTTTCAATTGCCCTCATAGGAGACCACCTTGAAGGAGCGAGTAAAAGGTTTAGTCATGGTTTCCATTTTCCTATTTGAATCAATACGTTCTAGTTAAATGGACAATTAATAGGTCACTTCCAAAATAGTAGCGTATCAGTCCTGGTTAATAAACAATCCCCACAGTTGATAATGGGCCCTATGTATTCAGCAAGGCCTGTATACACTCAGCTCATCCACTAAATCCCCTTTCAGGTGGACAGGGTTATATGGGAAGATGAGCTAGAATGAGTCTATAAAAGTCAGTTTCATTCACTGCTTTATTTTTCAGTCAAGTGCTTTAAATGGTGTCCAGAAATTCACTTGGAATGTGAGACAGGAGAAAAGACTGACACACAGAGCCTGGCTTTATGACGATACAAAAGGGCAACTGACCCTTGCCCGGGCCTTTTCCGTGTGAAATGGTTCCTAAAGTTCATCTGCACAGTGAAAAATCGTGGTGAGGTCGCGTGTGGATGAGTCAAGTGAAAGTGAAGCTTGGTCACGGGTCTGTCCCCCATTGTGGCCGGGGCCCAGCCATGTAAAGTGCTCTGTGGGAAAGTATCAGCCCCCTAAAGAGATGCTCAGAAGCTCGCAGCTCATTAAACGGCCAGCATTTGCTGCCTCACTTGTCAGGAATCATTCTGTGGAGCAACTGCTCTCCTGCAACATTCATAAAACACACGCAGAGAGGCAGCAAGGATCGGCATTCAACCGTGATGCTGCTCTGTACTTTCGTCTGACTCAAGTCCTCTTTCACTTTTCACCTGATGGAGCCGTAAACCTGAATCCATGTTTTCTCTTGGGCGGCTGCAATGAATGCACTCCTTCACTGGACTTCTCTAACCCAAACTCAAATTCTCTGTCTACAGATTCTTACCTGACATAGAAATCTCAAGATCAAGGTGAACTTTATTTATTTTTAGTTAGATTGTTTTTACATACGCGTGTGTGCACACAAACACTCTTCAAGTTTTTCAAAGTTGTCATTCTCACTCCAGTCCCAGACACTATTAAAATTTTATAATGTTTGATGAAAGCTCTCTTAAAAATATTTCCTACGACCCTGGCTAGTTTTCTTCAAGAGCATAAAGAGGAGGTATTTACCTCCTTTTACAATCTTAATTTTAAGTTATTTCCTATGGACACCTAGTGACTATCTGTGTCACATTTTCACCTGAATGGAAATTTTACACAGCAGAATTTCTTAGCCTGCCTTCCTTTCTTTTTTCTTCTTTAAATGAGTATGGCTACACATTTCAGAAAGAGCCAAACTGGTCCCTTTGAGATCTTTTATATCAAATGGAAAACAAGTTGCTTCCCTTAGTGTGTCAGCCCTGGGTTTCAAAGCCATTAGAAACCGCTCACAATTGCTCAGTGTGCTGAGGTTTGATAAATCTCTGGAAAGCTCCTGAATGGGATCGCTGTGATTTTTAGTGAGGAATTAGCTCCTTGCCATTGCACTACCAATTAGTTTTCCAGAGCCCATTAAATCCTGCTGCTTTGGTTTACAGAATAACTGAGGCATTGCTGATGAAGCAGAAAAACTTACTTGGAAAAGCAGTGGGGGATGCAGGGCGCCGACAGGACCCACCGCAGCACGCCGAGCAGAATGGCGGGGCGCTCAGAAAAAAGGGTTTGGAAGGCGCTGCAGAGAAAGCATTGATCTCATTGATTAGCCATGTCTTTTAGACGATATTCAAAATTCCAGTTTCCCAAAAGTCACCGAGTAAAAGCACTTCCTTTTTGGAGCCTTTACTTAATTAGAACTTTTACTGAAATTAAAGTCATTCTAGAGCAGGCTTTGTTGTCCAAGAGCTTGCCAAATAATTTAATCAAGATTTGGAAGACGTGGTAGAAAGACTCAAATTACCAAAACCAAACGTGTGGCCATAATTATAAGTAGTAAATAGCAAACATTCCTATATTTAGAATATCTAAGAGCAACACTGTCCCAGTGAACTCCCTGTGATGAGGGACATGTCCTATATCTGCACTGTCCAACATGGTGTCGACTTGCCACAAATGGCGACTGAGCACTTGAAATGTGGCTAGTCTCACTGGCTAAGTGAATTCTTAATTTAAATTATTTTAAATTAAACAGACTCATGTAGGTAGGGGCTATCATACTGAATAGCACAGCTCTAGATCTAATACTTACCAAGAAACAACTTGTATGTTATGTGCTTAAGTTTAATTTTTAAAAGAGATTATATTACTCTGTTTATTGTTAGAAGGTTCTTCGAAATACAGTTAGTTGCATTCCAAAGTTGATAATAGCAAATTTACTAAGCAATTCCATAACAAAAAGTGGTTTTTCTCATCACTTTTACTCGTTTAAAAGTATGTGAGAATAGTAATAACATTTTATCTCAAGAGAAACCCAGTTAATCTGAAAGAATTTGTGTTTATAGCATAGGGGGTTGCCGTAAAATTCTGTTCTGCTCATTTTATTAAACTAATCTATTCATAACATTTTCAATACATACACATGGAATAGTTATCATTATTGTTGTAAATAAAGACATTTTAAACTCTGTTTCTCAGTAGTTGAAAAGTAGCTAGAAAGGATGTCACAGAACGTTAATAACAGCTCTTCTTAATTGAGCACTTACTACATACCAGATTTTGGTTAAGAACTTTAAATATACCATGTCCTCTGGTAAGATGGGGTTTAATACAATATAAATATGGGTGAGAGTTCCTGAAGGCAGGCAACTTGCTTTTACCATGGCATACCCAGCAGAGTGCCTGGCACATTCTAAATAGTCAACAAATTTTCAATAAATGAATGAAAACTAAGAAATAGGAAACTTCTGATCTTCTTAGGTAAATAATGAGGATCAGGAATTAACTCCTTCTCTGTTCCCCTCATATACCCTCAAATAGAGTATCTTCCATAACAGATGACTTGAAATCTAGAACACGACTTGAAAATAAATATTTTTATTATTCTCTCTTCATATTCAATGGCAACTTTTCTTTTATTAATCATATATAGTGAACATTATTTTGATAGGAATACATACCTTTTTCAAGAATACAGTAATATCAGGCTTGTATTTTAACCAATTGATAAGCATGTGTTTATTTTCACCAACATCTTTGAAGGATATAGCAAAATAAGTGTATTGCCTAATAAGAATTTTGTAGTCTCAGGGTCCTTAATGCCTTCAAATTGGAAAATAACCATAAATGCAGGGTTTTTTCTATAATACAATGGAAAGTTGCCAATATTAATGTTCTTAGTTTTTTAATAACTGAATTTTCAAGTAAAAAAATGTTCGTCTTAATGCTGTTTTGAAGATATGGCAACTAAAGCAAAGTATGAAAAGGAGACCCATTTTGGTGTTCAAAAAGTTCTATGAAACTTTTTTTTAAATTTCACCGTTATCACATGTCATTCTAATACTGACTGTAGAACCATTATAGAAATGACAAATCATTTCACTTGAATGTATATTACAAGAGTATGATAGAGTTACATTTTCCATTATTTCTACGAATATATGAAGTACTTTGAAAAATGGAAAAATGGAAATATATTTCTTGCTTCATTATATTTATTCTCAAGCATTTCTGTTAACTAACTTACTTCATCTCCAAAATAAACACTCCATAGACAATTAACTTATGGTCATTGAGCTGTTTGGCATTTTTTTTTTTTTTTGAGGAAGATTAGCCCTGAGCTAACTACTGCCAATCCTCCTCTTTTTGCTGAGGAAGACTGGCCTTGAGCTAACATTTGTGCCCATCTTCCTCTACTTTATATGTGGGACGCCTACCACAGCATGGCTTTGCCAAGTGGTGCCATGTCCGCACCTGGGATCCGAACCAGCGAACCCTGGGCCGCCAAAGCAGAACATGCGCACTTAACCGCTGTGCCACTGGGCCGGCCCCTGGCATTTTTTAAATAGAGGTAACAGAAAAAGACTCTGCAATGTTGCATTTACATACATAAATTTAAATATTTATCATGATAGCTGGAAACACACAAATATGAAATATTTTTGCTCAATATGAAGTGTAGAAAATAAGTACACTATTAACACTATTAAAATAACAATGCAGGACATGTACAAATTACAAATTTTACTATTCTAATCAAACTATTTCTTAGTCTAATCCTATGGCCCTAAAAAGGGAAAATTAAAGGATAAAAAAAATGAATGGTTCGTTTGAGATAAATGAGACTCTAAGCTATATGATTTTAGTGTTAAATTTACCATAAAAAGAGTTTTAATTGAGCAGTTTGTTATACTGCTTTATATTACCCTATCTTAATATAGTAAAGCTGTAATCAAAATGACATGCTATCTACAGTAACAACTGTAGGGGCTAAAGAACCACATGTGACATGACCAGGCTTAAAGTTCTATTGTGTAGAATTTCTTCACCATTTTAAATCACCTCTTTGACATACATATATTTACACAGGAGATTAGTCAATTCTTGAGTGCTATACATAAATACACCTTGTTTAAGCTGGTTTATGTGGAAATTGCTGTGAAATTCCAATTAAGTGCTCCATTTTTTTTTAACATGCTCCTACTTTGACATAAGTCAAATGCTAATCCAGCTGAGCATGCGATTGCAGGAGTGTTGAATGAAGTTAGGAAATAACCATTTAAAACAACGCAATGCATTAAAAAATAGATATCACACTTTTATGTTTGTAAACCACACACTTTTTAAAGCAATGAGCAAAAAGGAAACTCACATTTGAAAAAGACAAAGTGACAAGTTGACAGATGTGTTAAAACCTTTGTAAGCCATTAAGAACCACTTTGAAGATGCTTTGAAAAGGGTAGAGAACAAGGCTATTTCACCCTGGATGATATGCATTTCAAAGCCCATCAATGGAATCTATAGGCAGCCACTCTATCATTTATCATGTGAGCAACAACTCATTGTAGACTTGGTGAGCGATATTTATGATGATAACATGTAAGAAGTGTCTACTATATGCCCAGCACTGGACTGGCTATGAATTTAACACACGCTATTTCATTCATTCACGAACATTCTACCTCTCATGGGCATGTATCTAGAATACGATGATGACTGTTTTCAGCAAATTTTTTTTAAAGGACAAGAGAAACAAATATTTTAGCATAATACCTAGTTATTAGCCATGAGGGATAAGGGATTCATGCACAGAGACAGCCAGTCATTCAGTAAGAGTAACTTTCCAAGTTTTCCGCAAGAGAAAAACAAATGGCTTTTCCTATGGAAAAAACGCACACTGTCAGGGTCTCAGCATGATGTTAGGTTTTCTTGGTGCAACACTTCACGATATTCCAAATTTTGCCGCATCCTGCCAACAAATCTAACTTCCAGTTTCTGGGAGAATCTAAGTTACAAACAAATGACTCAAAAATTTTGGAACCAAACTGAGGCCTGTCTGAATCCAAATGGCTAAAATCCCTTATTCACAGCAAACTTCATGAACTTTTCACTTCTTAATCAGATGTTCTGACTTATCTGAAGATACGGCATCAAAATATTTAAGAATTATTTTGAATGTTTAGCTACAACTGGAACTTAGAGCCAACTTACTGGTGAACTGGCCTGATTTTTTTAAACTTAACTAGATAGTTCTGTGATGCAAGTATCTCACAGCCAAGGATGGTCACAAGCCTAGTTACAGAGCAATTATTTTCAAAATTCTGTTGTCTAGAAAATAAGCAATATATTACAAAAAATTTTTTGTTATTTTCATTCTTCTTTTCTGCTGGAGAACAACACAAATCTTAATGGGGTGAAATCACATTCTTTTTATTATCAATGCAAACTGGTATTAACTAACTTGAGGTGACATCTCAAAGAAAGAATACCACAGATTACTAATAAAACCTTCAAATAAACTTCAGGAACCTACTGTGATGCTCTGCCAATTAGGCAGCACATTTTAAGAAGGATGAGAAGAAATGAGAAAAGATTCCAAGATGTCTTACTAATGCAACCAAAGGGTCAAAAAATACCTCTGGGAAAGAATAGCGGGGAATTAAATAATTTCAAAAGGATGGTTTTGGGGTCAGCCTGGTGGCATAGTGGGTAAGTTCGCATGCCCCGCTTTGGCGGCCCGGGGGTTCCCCGGTTCAGATCCCGGGTGTAGACCTATGTACTGCTTATCAAGCCAAGCTGAGGCAGGCGTCCCACATATAAAGTAGAGGAAGATAGGCATGGATGTTAGCTCAAGGTCAATCTTCCTCAGCAAAAAAGAGGAGGATTGGTGGTGGATGTTAGCAAAGGGCTAATCTTCCTCACAAAAAAAAAAAAGGATGGTTTTAATGACCTCCTTCAAGTGCCAGGTACATGGGCACTGGGAATAAAGATAATTAAACTTCTGACCTGAAAATAATACACAAATGAACCTACTATCTGGAGCAGAGTAGACCCAAACAACGAGACTCTAAAGAATGGTAATCATCTGTCTTGAGTAGTAAAACCTAAGAAATATCAATTATTTAACGATGTGTGACTTATTTTATCACACAACCCAGAAGGAATTAATGTCTGTGATCCCCATGCAAACTTGCCTTCAATCACAAGGGAAAGCAAGTTAAGTAAATTCATCCTTACCTTTCTGCTTGTCAAAAACAACAGAAGTCAGCATTTCTTTGTCTGACATATTTTAGAGAAAGT